AAGTCATAACTAACAGGTTTTCAGAAATTCTTCCCTGTTTAATTACTTATTAGAATTAATTAACATAACTGGAAACACGGATGTAAGCAGTTATGAAACTAAAGTCCAATAACAAACACAAAATAATTAATTGACTCGCTCCATTGGAATATTTTAGTTAAAATAATTAACCAGCGTGACTGTAAATTCAATAATACAAAACATTTCTTAGTATTGAGATGGTATTAGGTTGGGATAGTGTGGGGAATTGTAAGCACTCATGTTTGAAATGTATACGCACACATCGTGTGATTGAGCCAACAATATGACTTGAGGAGTGGATTCTGAAAGACCTATAAACATAGGCTATGTAATTATGCACGTCCTAGATAGTAATTTCGATAAAATCTCAAACTTCAGCAAACGCAGAGAGCCCGCGTTATCAAACGCGTTCTCAAATCGTTGTGCAAATCTTGGCGTGCTGATCACTTGTGCGATGCGATCGTTTTTATGTAGAGATCAGTGGAAAAATTTCGAAAAATCAGTGGATGTAATAAATCAGAGGAACGACTAACCCATGTTTTTTTATACGCTAAGCGCAACATTCCGAACTATACGCTTCTCAACGGTCCTAGTCAAACTCATATATATATATATATCAACCATATTTTTATGAATATATTATGAGAAAATCTGTGCTTGTGTCTTGGCGTGCTGATCACTTGTGAGATCAGTGGAAAATTTCGAAAAATCAGTGGATGTAATAAATCAGATAGATGGCGTCTAAACATTCGTAGGTCACCCGCATGAGGCGCTGCCATCGCTCATCCTCTTTAACGAACGGCACGATGGTGTTGGTGAGGTAGGAAATCCCTAGTTGAGTCTCAGGATCAGCTATACCTACTTGCACTCCTGTTCCCGGTGTTCCAAACATCTGTTGCCCCTGTAAGTACAAACGATGCAGTAGCATACCGATATTTGTCCTTAAAACCACATCCGTAAACAAGTAATTTAACTTCTGTTGCTCAGCTATACGAGATTTTAATGCATGTAATAAAAATTAATTAGAAAAACAAGAAGAAGAAGAGAAGGGGAGGGGGAGAAGGAAGAGGAGAGGGAGGAGGAAATAGAGATAAACTATTAGAGATAGAATTATTATTTCTGTTATAAATGTATTGATCCAATATGTATATATGATAAAAAGTCTTGTAATTCGTATCAGTGTTATAATGGTTAGCGCTGAGATATTGCTATATGCTTATATATACTTATATATACAAATATATAGAATGGGATATAGAGAAAGAGAAGGGGGAGTATAGTAGAGAAGTACCTCACCTTAGGATTTTTAAATGAATCGGCAACGTTGAATCCTCCGACACTAAACCTGGTAGCGATTGCATCACCGACAGCGGGCTTCAGTAGAATGTCGTCGTTGTAGATCGGTTCTCGCATCTATACGTCACGTGATTATATGAAATACGGCTGCGTTATAATGCGATGCATTCTTCTGACCCATTGAGCAGGGAAATATAACTGTAAATAAATGTGCGTAGGGCTCATACCTTTACATTAATAAATAAAACGTATGCGTTATTAAAGTTTATATATGTTCGTTTACCTGGTCTATTGTTTTCCGCGTGAGTAAACGACTACCATTGAGAGCTCCTCCCGAAGCCAGTATACCATACATCTTTGCCTGAGACATAGCAGTGCCGATTCCATTCGCAGCGGCTATCTCTATTTCTCGTAACTCGTAGTTTCCCCACTGTTCCGGCGTCTTCATGGCATATACGTATAACAAAACACATATATACATGTCAGGGCCGCGTTCTTCGAATTCGTCGAAGGAAAGTTGCTGCGACTAAAATATTTACAAATTTACGTACGAATCTATAGGAAGCGGTATAAAATTAATTAGTATGCACGTACGTTACTTGTAATCCTCTAAATAGTTGGCTGAGCAAATTAACAGATGCGCCTGCGTAAATCCATATATGTATGCGTACATATACATACATGAACAAAGCAATGTGTTATTACATTATTGGGATAGGGATTTTCACGTGTATTATAATCTGATAGTCTGCGTGCTGTAAATCTCTCAATAAGTGATTAAATTATGTTTAATCGATTGTGACAGCATACCATTGCACGGAAGAATTTCGGTTGTATGTAGTCGGGATAAACTGATTTCTTCATCATATCGGCGTCCGATCCAGCCTTGTAAATATTGAATAAGTAGCGAGCCATAATGCCGATGTTCTTGAGCGAATTACTATCTTTGTAGGATCGTGCTACGCGGTAGTGCAGGGTGCGGGGCAAGCCAATGTGGAAGTCCAGCCCTGAGACGTGTATAATATACCATGCATGTAGTCACGCTCTCAAGCGCTTGCGTATGCAATGAACTGCAATGTCGTTATTAGAAATACGAGTATAAATAACGAAACAAGTTTAGGTACATCACTATTCAACATAACACAACTTCTCCCATGCCGAAATGCCCTATATCTAGTAGACGCATATTCGGCATTCAGACTAATCGCGATGCTGACTGCGCCCGGCTGCTGTACATACAAACCACGTACAAAAAAATAAATATTACAGCAACATTCTATTAATTTACGCTGTGCACAGGCATCGTAGTGAGACATAACTAATGGATCTACTGAGTAAAAAGAAGAAACAAGCACCAAGGCCGAAGGATAAGCTCTTTATGTTTGTATCTGGTACCCCGAGTTAACATGCAAGCGTGTATAGGTTTCCTGTGCCGCACAAACTATCATAACGTACCAAACTTCTCTGCAACTTCTTCTCGGAAGAAGTGTCCCACACTTCGACCCCGGGGGTCGACCCGCAGCAGCAGCTGGTCTACGAGGAATCCCTGTGTTATGGCATGATAACCATGAGCTGTCCCTGGTGGCCACATGGGCTTCTGATCGGCCAGGATCTCACCCATCTTATTTCGATCTCTGATCGTGTTCTCGTCCACATCGTAGCCAAATATGTTCGGAACGCCAGCCTTGAAACGGAAACTATGAACATATTAGTATGGCACATCTAAACCTGCGAGATTATATCGGGTACAGTTAGAGAAAATCATGCAGCATTTTATGTAAACACGTTGTAATCATGTATTGGAGATCGCTGTATTGGATCAAAGTTCAAGGAGTTGTCGTGGTATCAGCTGTAGTAACTACTTGTCGGATAACATTACGCTGACAGAATTTTTTTCAATTATTATCATAGTTATTTAGTTAAGTTAAATCCTTCCCGCGCCTATGTGGGGCATAGGGCGGTGCCTATCTCCGTTTCCTTTACCCGAGGCCATAGTTATTTAGGGTGTTCTAAGGGGCTACGACCCTGCATGCATATAGATGATCTGCGTATATGTGCGAGTAGTGAGATGACACGCCACCTGGTGAGAGAGAAGCATGCTGACGGTCACGTTATCTTTGCCATGTTGTCCAAACTGCGGCCAATACTTCGTGACCAGATCTTCGTACTTGAGCAGACGCCTGTCAACCAAAACGGCGACGCACAGGGCTCCAATACCTTAAAACATAAATTCTACGCGTGAGATGAATTAATTAATGTAAAATATAAAATATCTTAGCAAATTAGCGTGACAGCATGCTTGTCTGTCTGATCGTCCGTCCATCCTTTCCTTCCGGCTCGCTATCTGTCCGTTCATGCATCCGTCTGTCTGTGTGGTCGCCTGTCTGTCTGTTTGTTTCCCAGCCTCTTGTAAAATTACAAGGGTTTCCCTAAAAAAAACTCGCGTAGACGCTCTTTTTCAAAGCGTTCGATGACCTCACACCTATCCTATGTATATCGCCTGCGACGCTCTATTACCTTTGGAAGTAGAGAAGAAAAAACTCATCGTGTCTTCCGTCCACGGGTTGTGGGCGGCAGTGTCGGCGTAACCTCCCCATATATTAACGATGGGCTTGCCCTTGTGATAGACGGCAAACGCTGCGCCATTTTCGTCGAGTCCCTCCTCGAAAAGTTTCCTAAATTGTTTGTTAAACAATTATTACGCTCAATACAATACAATAAATGCTACAATTATATGTACGATAACCACGCACAGCTAAACAAGACCAGTAATTTTTCCCATTTAATCGCGGTTGCAGCTGACACCCGTAAGTAGTTGTTGTTAAGCTATACTACTTCTACGGCTGGGCGTTGATGTGTACAGCGGTTTGCCGCGGACACAGTCAACACAACTGACACGATGACACCGTTAAAACAAAGTATAAACACGGGATGTTTGTGAGTCTTTGATATGATAAGCCCTCGCGGTTACACACGCCATGAACACATGTATATAGATTGTCTAAATGTAATTCTATATATCTTCTGAATGTATTCATATCTTTATAATGTATTCGTATTTAGATATGTATTCTACTAGGAAATAGAGATAAACTATTAGAGATAGAATTATTATTTCTGTTATAAATGTATTGATCCAATATGTATATATGATAAAAAGTATTGTAATTCGTATCAGTGTTATAATGGTTAGCGCTGAGATATCGCTATATGCTTATATATACTTATATCTACAAATATATAGAATGGGATATATGGAGAGAGAGGGGGGAGTATAGTAGAGAAGTAGAAGAGATCCTCACCTTAGGATTTTTAAATGAATCGGCAACGTAGAATCCTCCGACACTGAACCTGGTAGCGAATGCATCACCGACAGCGGGCTTCAGTAGAATGTCGTCGTTGTAGATCGGTTCTCGCATCTATACGTCACGTGATTATATGAAATACGGCTGCGTTATAATGCGATGCATTCTTCTGACCCCCCATATTCATGGTATGAGCCCTACGCACATTTATTTACAGTTATATTTCCCTGCTCAATTTACATTAATAAATATAACGTATGCGTTATTAAAGTTTATATATGTTCGTTTACCTGGTCTATTGTTTTCCGCGTGAGTAAACGACTGCCATTGAGAGCTCCTCCCGAGGCCAGTATACCATACATCTTTGCCTGAGACATGGCAGTGCCGATTCCATTCGCAGCGGCTATCTCTATTTCTCGAAACTCGTAGTTTCCCCACAGTTCCGCCGTCTTCATGACATACGTATAACAAAACACATATATACATGTCAGGGCCGCGTTCTTCGAATTCGTCGAAGGAAAGTTGCTGCGACTAAAATATTTACAAATTTACGTACGAATCTACAGGAAGCGGTATAAAATTAATTAGTATGCACGTACGTTACTTGTAATCCTCTAAATAGTTGGCTGAGCAAATTAACAGATGCGCCTGCGTAAATCCATATATGTATGCGTACATATACATACATGAACAAAGCAATGTGTTATTACATGATTGGGATAGGGATTTTCACGTGTATTATAATCTGATAGTCTGCGTGCTGTAAATCTCTCAATAAGTGATTAAATTATGTTTAATCGATTGTGACAACATACCATTGCACCGAAGAATTTTGGTTGTATGTAGTCGGGATAAATTGATTTCTTCATCATATCGGCGTCCGATCCAGCCTTGTAGATCTTGAATAAGTAGCGAGCCATAATGCCGATGTTCTTGAGCGAATTACTATCTTTGTAGGATCGTGCTACGCGGTAGTGCAGGGTGCGGGGCAAGCCAATGTGGAAGTCCAGCCCTGAGACGTGTATAATATACCATGCATGTAGTCACGCTCTCAAGCGCTTGCGTATGCAATGAACTGCAATGTCGTTATTAGAAATACGAGTATAAATAACGAAACAAGTTTAGGTACACTATTCAACATAACACAACTTCTCCCATGCCGAAATGCCCTATATCTAGTAGACGCATATTCGGCATTCAGACTAATCGCGATGCTGACTGCGCCCGGCTGCTGTACATACAAACCACGTACAAAAAAATAAATATTACAGCAACATTCTATTAATTTACGCTGTGCACAGGCATCGTAGTGAGACCTAACTAATGGATCTACTGAGTAAAAAGAAGAAACAAGCACCAAGGCCGAAGGATAAGCTCTTTATGTTTGTATCTGGTACCCCGAGTTAACATGCAAGCGTGTATAGGTTTCCTGTGCCGTACAAACTATCATAACGTACCAAACTTCTCTGCAACTTCTTCTCGGAAGAAGTGTCCCACACTTCGGCCCCGGGGGTCGACCCGCAGCAGCAGCTGGTCTACGAGGAATCCCTGTGTTATGGCATGATAACCATGAGCTGTCCCTGGTGGCCACATAGGCTTCTGATCGGCCAGTATCTCACCCATCTTATTTCGATCTCTGATC